CTCATTTTTTATGGCTGAGTAGTATTCCATTTGATAGGAAAAAAAATAAACACATCTTCTTTATCCAGTTTCCAGTTGATGGGCATTTGGGTTATTTCCATGTTTTAGCTATTACAAACTGTGTCGCTATAAATATGGGCGTGCATATATCACTGTGATATGATTCTTCAAATTCTTTTGGGAAGATATCCAACAGAGGGATAGCTGGGTCAAATGGGGCCTCTAATCCTAGTTCTTGCAGAAATCTCCATATTGATTTCCACAGTGGTTGCACCAGTCTGCACTCCCACCAACAATGGAGAAGCGTTCCTGCCAGCCCTGTGAGCATTTGTTATTGGCTGATTTCTTGATAGAAGCCATTCTTTCTGGGGTAGGGTGGAATCTCAATGTTGTTTTCATCTGAATCTCTTGAACGGCCAGTGATGTTAAACAATTTTTTCATATATTTATTTTCATATATTTTACTTCTTTTTCTGAGAAACTGTCTGTTCATTCAGATTCCCATTTTTGAATTGGGTCTTTGTATTTGGGAGGTTTGATTTTTTGAGTTCTTTATATATTCTAGATAGTAGTCCTTTGCTTGAGGAGTAGCTGGTAAAAGTTTATTCCCACACTGTGGGTTATCTCTTAGCGCTGTTGGTGGTTTCTCTTGTAATGCAAAAACTTTTTAATACAATGAGATTCCAGTTGTTGATTCTTTGTGCAAGTTCTCCTGTTGCTGAGGATTTGTTCATAAGGTTTTTTTCCTATGCCTACGTTCAAGAGTTCTACCTAATTTACTTTCCAGTAAGTTTAGTGTTTCTGTTTTGATGTTTAGCTCTTTGATCCACTTGGATTTTACCTTAGTGCATGGTGTAAGATAAGGATCTAGTATTAATCTTTGGCAAGTTGAAAGCCAGTTTTTCCAACACCATTTATTAAAGAGGCTATCTTTCCTCCAGTGAAGATAGTTGGCTCCTTTTTCAAAGATGAGATAGCTGAGCACATCTGGTGTTGTTTCTGTATCTTCTAATCTATTCCACTGACACTCTGGTCTGTTTATTTGCCAGTACCATGCTGTTTTTAACACAGTGGCTTTGTATTATGGTTTCAAGTTGGGAGTTCTGATACCCTTTGCCATTACTAACTTTTTAAATGACTACACCACAAGAAGGATTCAGGCTGCCTGAAAATGTGAGAGCTGAGCTATCTTTCAGGAAAATGATGTCTCATTTTCTTGGCATATTTCCATGTTAAGCTAAGACTTTAAAAAAATGTTTCTAAATCTTGCATCTTTGAGAATACTGGAGAAAACACATGTTGCAATTTCTTGGTTATTCTAGAGCAATGATGGCAAACCTTTTAGAGCTTTCAATGACAGCAAAGAGCTGTGATGCACGTGCCATGATTTTACCACCATTGTTTTGGAGCTACATTGGTTTGCGCTGTGCTGCACAAAACAAGTAAACAAAAAAATTAAACCGCTAAGAAGATATTATACTTTTGAGAGCTTAAAGGCCAATTGAGAGTTGTAAGGCAGTTTGTCCTTTCACTAGGTGGCAGTGGTTTGCAGTAGCTTCACAGTACAATTGGTTCTATGTGTCCATGGTGAGGTCCATATCCACAGATTCAATCAATGTAGAGTGAAAATATTTTTTTTTTATTGGTACATTTTAGATACACAATAGTTATTCATCATTGGGATCTTGTACCTTTACACCATGTATCTTGCCTTATTTTTCCCCATACCCCTGCCCTCCCTTCAACCCCTTCACCCTTCCCTATCTACAAAGACTTTGTTTCCATTTTTTCCTTTTCTCTTATTTTTTCTTTTTCTTTTGTACCTTTCCCCTGCCCCTGCTATTTCCCCTACACCTTGACACCTTTTTTCCTATTACACAATATCAATTATACATTTTTATTCTTATTTACACTTTTAGTTTATCACCAGAGAAACTATTCAGTATTTACACATGTCCTATTAATTTCACTTAAAGGTATGTCCTCAATATACATCCATTTAGCTATAAATGTCTCTAGTTTCTCACTCTTTATGTCTGGGTAGTGCTCTCTTTTATTAAAAAAAAAATCTTTATCCAGTCACCAGTTGATGGACAAAAGAGTGAAAATATTTCTAAAGAAACTGTCTCTACTGAACATGTATAGGCCATTATTCCCTAAAAATACAATAAAATAACTATTTACAGAGCATTTTCATTGTGTTAGACATTTTAAGTAATCTAGAGATTATTGTAAATCTCTGGAAGTCTACATAATTTATATGCAAATATTGTGCCATTTTATAGAAAGGATTTGAGAATTTAAGGATTTTGGTAGTCTCCAAGGCAAAGGATCCTAGAACAAATCCCAGGACTGTCCCAGAGGGTCAGCTGTGCTGTCTCTGGTTCTGTTATTGTTCATCAGTTGTTACAGACCATCATTGCTGCACAGTGTTGTTTCCCATTTTCTCCCTTTTCATATAAGCAATTTTATCAAAGCAAGTGAAATTTGCCACTCAATATTTTTTACTCCTTCTCCACTGCTTTTTTTTTTTTTTTTTATATCAGGGTTTGAACTCAGGTCCTTGTGCTTGCAAGGCAGGCGCCAGAACCACTGAGCTAAATCCCCAGCCTATCTACTTCTCTCTATATTATAAGAGATTGGGGCTAGAAAGTTCTTGGGGTTTCTGTTAAATGTCTTTATATTATCCACCAACCCCATGTAAATAAAAACATTTTATAATTTTTGTTATATATTGAGAATTTTGAGAAGATAATATACCTCCAGATACATTAAGACTTATTGTGTTTTCTTTTAAATTCCTGCCTACTATCAAAAAATAATAGAATTATATGTCTGGTAACAGCTAAACCTCCCAGGTAGCTTATCATATTTCTTCATTTTGAGCACATCTGAATAAATTTTTTAATTTATTAAAGGTATTGGTACATTTTAGGTATACAATATGATGACATTCATTATTGGTAATTTGAACCTTTACATGATATATCTTAGTTCTATTTTTTCCCCCATTCCCCTACCCCCACAACCCCTTCATCCTCCCTATTTAAAAGACTTTGTTTCCATTTTTTCCTTTTCTCATGTTAATTCCATTCCTTTCTTTCCTTTCCCCTTACCCCTCTGACTACCCCTTCCCCTTCCCTTTTCGACCTATGGAGATACCTCAAAAAACTAGGATTAGAGGTCCTATTTGACCCAGATATTCCCCTGCTGGGGATCTTCCCAAAAGAATTAAAAGCATCATATCACAGCGATATATGCTTGCTCATTTTTATAGCGGCACAGTTTGTAATAGCTAAATCTTGGAAACAGTCTGAATAAATATTTTAATGTTTCTGCAATTGAGATAAGTCTTACAGTTGATGTGTATGTTTAATTTGATGATGTCTCTTTGATTACAAAAAGCTGTTATTAATAATTATGAATCTTTAGTTGAATACTTAAATGAGATTTTTATAGCTGCTACATATAAAATTCAAGTAAGCTACATGTAGATACTGTGAGAAAAGAATTAATATTACAGACATACTTTTTTTTTCCTCCTTGAGTGTACTGGCACATTTTAGGTATACAGTACAGTTACATTCATCATTGGGACCTTGTACCTTTACATGACAGGTCTTGGTTCTCATGTTTTCCCTTTATCCCTGCCCTCCCTTCATCCCCTCCTCCTTTCCCTATTTACAAAAACTTACTTTCCATTTTTTCATTTTCTCATATTTTTTTCTTTTCCCTTATTACCTTTTCCCTACCCTTCCCGTTTCCCCTACACCTTTAGCCCTTTTCTTCCTATTTCACATTGTCAATTATATCATCATCTCAAATACCATTATAGTTTTTCAAACCAGAGAAACTATTTGGTATTTATAGATGTGTAACTTATTTATTTCACTTAGTAGTATATCCTCAATATGTATCCATTTTCCTATGAATGAATCTAATTTCTCATTCTTTATGGCTGAGTAGTATTCCATTTTAAAGAGAAACCACATCTTCTTTAACCAGTCTCCAACTGATGGGCAAATGGGTTGTTTCCAAGTTTTATCTATTACAAACTGTGCCGCTATAAATGTGCGTGTGCACATATCACTGTGATATGATTCTTTTAATTCTTTTGGAAAGATACCCAGCAGAGGGATGGCTGGGTCAAATGGAACCTCTAATCCCAGCTCTTTGAAGTATCTCTATATTGATTTCCGTAGTGGTCGCACCAGTCTGCACTCCCACCAACAATGGAGAAGGGTTCCTTTCTCCCCCAGACATTCTTAATACTGACTGACTCTAATCATTGTGTTTCTCTTCCCACACCATTACCTCCTCTTATTCTCCAAAGGTAAGTATAACCTTAGTATATAGCCATTATATATATATATATATTTATTATTATATTCATTATGTGTTTTTATATTAACCAGTGATGTGACTATTGTATAACTTCCTTGTTTCAGTCTACAGTTTATTTTGAGAACCATTTAATATAATATAGAAACCATTTTATAGTAATAGATGCAGCAATGTGTGCTCTTATCAACAATCTTCAGCAAAGGCACTTGTTCATGTCTCTCGTGCTTATGTGCCAAAATGCCTCACAGTTTATGCTCGGTACAGTTCCATTGACTTGTAAAAGCAAATACATATCTTTCCATCCTACCTTTGGTGATACCATGTTGGTAGCTTGAATATGCTGAGACTATTTGCACCATGGAATATGGCAAGCCTACACATCAAGACACCACATTGGAAAGCCACTTGTTAATTATTTATTAGTGAACCACTGACATTTATCACCAAAACACTCACTATATATTTTCTAAATTATTATCATTTCACTGGTCTACAAAAGTCCTTGGTTTTTTAAAGTTTGGTTTTGATATTATCTTTTTTGTTTTCCTTTTTGGTTGGTTGTTGAAGAAATCATTCCCAAATCCAAGATGTGGGCAGAAAAGAATATTCTATTTTATCTTATAATTTTAGAATTTTCATATTTAGATCCATGATACCTTTGCTGCTTCTTTTTCCTTCTTTTTATCCTGAGCACCCAGTCAGAATTCCAGGAACCAGTAGTTGCCTATGAGGTACTTACAGGAAGAGAAGAGAGATTTATTGAGGATACAATTATTTCTTAGAAGTACACTTGCCAGCCAAACCACTTGGGACCCCTCTTGTCTGTCAAGAGCTATTTCTCTATAAAACTTTCCTACTCTTATCCTCCACTGTCCTTGCCAATCCATTTGATTTCAGAGCACATGAACTTGGCATATCTGACATCTAGTTCGTTGGGAGTTATATTTCCTTTATATCATTTTGGAGGCCTGAGTGGGATCTTTGGAAGGAGTTAAGGGTTTTTTTGTTTCGTGGCACCCCTAAATATTTTGACTGATTTCTGGATTGTGACTCATTTAGGTAATCAAAAATTGTCATCTTTTGTGTGTCAGTTGCTTACACCTTATGTTCTTGTTGTTGCTGTTAAAATGATAAAAGATTTAATTTGAGAACATTGGAAAGACTGTGATATCTTCATATTTAAGCTTTTTTGACAGGACATTTTTATTTTTGCAGGCAGGGCCTTGTATTCCTACTTTGTATACACTGTAGTTAGGCTTACTTCTATACTAGTTGCTGAATTTACATTTATTCCTTTCATGACTTGTTTGGTGGTTACAAGATGACTTATTTTAGACAGCTCTCTGGAATCACTTTTTGAATATTTAATTGCTTTGTAGCTCATGTTCTTAGGTGTATCTGAAGCTAAAAGGCAGGTTTTAGCCATTCACCTCTGTTTTGGATGGTTGCTGTCACTGTTAGTAAATCGTAATGTGTTTCTCTGCAATTCTGAAAGTCTTTTTTCCTTTTAACTGGAACCTCTTGAAGCCCTAAAAAATGCGTGTTCATCTAAAAGGGCATTGAGGACAGGAAATCCTTTAAATGAGGAACACATACTCCTGTCTCTCAGGAAAATGAAACTTTGCAATTTTTCTCATGCAGGTGGCACTCACACCTGAATCCTGAGACCAAGAGAAGGGAACCAGCCTGTAAGTGACACTAGAAGAAGCTACCTTCAAAGCATATACATCTGAGGGGATCTAAACACATTCAGATTGAGGGAGGTTTTCTAAACTGTTCTTAACTCTTTCTAAATGAAAGGGTATACCACCTGCAGCCACCATTTTTGGGTGGCTTGGATCATTTACCAACTATGCATATTCAATTGGAAGATCAAGTCATAGCTGATGCTATCTACAGGACTTAATAAAGTCTATGGACCCAATGATCTTCCTGCTTTCTCTCTCACTCTCAAAAAAGGCCCCTATTTCTCTGTTCTTTCCCCTTTTATTTCTGGTTCTCATTGGGTTTTGTTTTTTGGGTTTTGTTTTTTGGGTTGTTATTGTTGTTTTGTTTTCTTTTGTATAAGAGGGGGAAGAAACTGACATATGTACTTTTGCTAATGTGTGATTTGTGGTTGCTGGGCAGTGGGTACAGGCTTTAACCTGTGGAGCCTTAGTAGACCTTCTTCCCCTGTCTTAGAATACATAAGTGGCTACAAAGAGTGTTACATCTCTTTCTATGCCTAAACATGGCCTGAGCACCCCTCTATCCTAGAAACAGTTGAAATTACCTTTAAAAATGTGTCCCTTTAAGAAAGCAACCCTTTTCCATTGTTGGTGGGAGTGCAGACTGGTGCAACCACTGTGGAAATCAATATGGAGATACCTCAAAGAGGTAGGACTAGAGGTTCCATTTGACCCAGCTGTCCCTCTGCAGGGTATCTTTCCAAAAGAATTAAAAGAATCATACCACAGTGATATATGCTCACCCATAGTTACAGTGGCACAATTCATAATAGCTAAAACTTGGAAACAGCTCAGTTGCCCAGTTGGAGACTGGATAAGGAAGATGTGGTTTTCTATAAAATGGAGTGCTACTCAGCCATAAAGAATGAGAAATTAGATTCATTCATAGGAAAATGGATACATATTGAGGTATACTATTAAGTGAAATAAATGTCACACATGTGTGAATATAAAAAACAGTGTGTCCCTTTAGAAGGAACAATTTCATATGGCTATCAAAGCAGCACTTTTGGCTCTAGGCTGCAGCTATCAAACTGTGGCTATCAAAGCAAAAACAACAACAAAAAGTCCTTTGTAGGTGGCTGTTCCAGTAAGATAAACTATCAACCTAGCACCCTTAAAACAGTCTTTGCTTTTACAGGTATCAAAGAGTTTTGGGTTTGTTTTGTTTTGTTCCCCACCCCCTCTTCTGACTATTATTACAAGAGCTCTCCATTCATTGAAAAGTTCTGACTAGTCTAGAGTTATAAACCTAAAAACTATAAACAGGCTGTTGCAGTTCAATTTGGCCAATATATGTGAGAGTGCACTCTGATTTCAAATAATTATTTTTTGTATTTATATGTTTATCCATCTGTCTATTTGATGTGTGTTAATAACCAGTTAAAGCACCTGCAGCTATTTCACTTAAGAAGAATATTTTTGAGTGCAACAGTTTCATTTTGTTTGGATTTGGTTTGGTTATTTTTGAGATTTCCATTCAAAATCATTTGTACAGGTTTCAGAGTAGCAAAACTCATTTAAGATATTACCAGATAAAGACTTACAGGCTTGCGGAGTAGGAATAAAAGCCTTAAAGTTTAATAACAGAAAGGTTACATATGATTTAAGTTAATACCTATGCTTCTGTGTGTTGACTTTTAAATATACATTATCCTCCAAAAGGTCTACTTAAGTTGGTTTATAGATAAATAAATACTCAGGACATTATCTTAAATAATTGTGATTCATATAGTTTCATAGTGGGCTAATTTAAATCACCTGGTAAGAGCAAAGACATCTTTAAAGTTGGTAAAATATAGCCATCTAGGTTGTTAGGTAAGCAAGATAATACCAAAAATCAGTTTTATAAATGCATTGACTATTATTGTCTGTGTACCATAAGACGTTTTCATATATGTATATATATATATATATATATATGAAATATAATCTATATTAAATATATGTGAAATATATATGGCACATATACGGCTTGAAAAGTGTTAACTGTTATGATGAATCATCTAAAGTAACTGTTTTGGGCTATGATTAAAAAGTTAAGTTTTCTATGTCTAAAACATAATTTTCTAAAAATACTGAGATGTTCTTAGTTGAACTTACAAAACTAGATTTAAAAGCAAAGATTCTGTATTCTACTAACATAAGTTCCTACTGTTCTCATTGTTAGCTTTTTGGTTACTAAAAAGCAAGCTTAAAAGTTAAAGACTATTTGAATGTTAATCTATAAAATGTTTTCAGAAATCAGTTCATGATTGGTTAAATAAGCAACTATTATCTTAAATAAGCAACAATTAGTTTATAATATCTATTTGATAAGATATATATTTAAGATATTACATATCTTAGTTTACAATTTTATATATCTATATGTATATATATATATACAGTATCTATACATCTAAATACAAGCTATGCTGTAAATCTAAGCTTTAATGTTAACTTTATAAAGTTAAGACAATATTCATTTAATATGTACAAGGTAACTAATTGTTGCTCTTTTTTATACAATATATGTTTAAACCTTAAACATATAAAATGATCAAAATTTTATATCTCTTTAAATTTGGTCCTGGCATATAAATTTAATCTGTTTATTGGCTTTGATTAAGCAGGCATTTTTGTTATTGTATAAAGGGGATACACTTGTATATTGGGTAATAAGTCTGTGGTCATTAACTCTGTTTCCAAATTTATCAGAGATGTGAAGATGTCTTTACTTCTTGTCAAGATAGCTAGGCCTTATAAAACCTACCAAAAGAGTCTAAAATTTGTCTTAAGTAGAAACTAAATATATGTAAAGATTACTCTGTAGGTGTCATACCAATTATTGCTATCCTCCTGGTATTTAAATAGTATATTTGCATTTCCAAAATGTACAGACCTTCAAATAACTGAACTAAAAACATTTTATCCTCCTATTGACATTCAGCTAAAGTTGTTTATGGTCACAAACTTTTTATACTCAAGTATCTGGTTTTCCAAATAGTTACCTGAGTTCCAGCCATTTGTGAGGAAATGTTCATGAAAATCCAATATGAGATAGCCAACCAGAAGATGTAAATAATATTTCAAGTATATGTTTGTGTGTTATACAATTGTGTTATAACAGTTAGAGTTACCTAAACATTGGTGCAGTCCAGACCATAATAACTCTTAATAACCTTAATAGCTTAATAACCCATAAAGTACATTTATAAACATGTATATTCTACTTGTTTATACTTGTACAAATACAAGTATCTTTTACTCTGGTAACAGATAATGGTTTAAAGATAACAAATTAGGTGAAAGTTTCTTTGTGTCATTTCATATTTTGTTATTAGACAAAGGTAAGTGACTAAAAATTTATTGTATACTAAAATGGAGATTTAAATGTGTTTCAGAGATAATAATGTCATCATGATTGTCATGTGAAAATGCTATGTTGCCCATAGTCTCAAGTTTCTCTGTAAAACTACCTGTTAGCATTTCTTGTGTGACATATATAAAATATATAAAAATCTAGTTGGCAACTACTACTGTCTCAACCTCCAGTTAGTGCACACTCCTGCTCGCAACACAGTGTCTGCATGTGTCTCCTTCCCCCAGTCTGTCTTTCATTCTACTTCTCATACTTTGGTTTTACATACTTTAATCTTTTGGGAAAAAATTTATACTCACCTAGAGGCTGCCAAAGTCCAATTGATCATACAGATGGAATCAACAAAAAATGTGCAGAACTCCTTTTACCAGGATACACTAGATTGACTTTGTAAAGGGAATTAATAACTGCTAAACCCTAACTTGACTTTTCTCCAAGGCCTTTTAAATTAGCTCTCTGGAAAAGAGCCCTGACTGCGTCTCTCATACACTGACCCTTTTCAGCTCAAAGCAGCTAGATTGAAACTATGCCCATTCTCCCCTGACCACAGTTAGGGAAACTTCTTCAGAGGAAAGAATATTATAGGCAACTAAGTTAGATAGAAATACACAGAGAGCAACTAAGCTCTTAAGGAAATCAGCAGAAAAAAGAAAGACATTAGAATTGCGGCTGGAGGCAGATCTGAAGAAGGCAAAGCCTCAAGTTAAACTCACAATAGACAGATGCATACCTCCCTCAGGAATAAACAGAAATGAGATTAAACTATAGTTACTACCTCTCAGTCCATTAAGTCCAGATATGCATAAGACACCCAGGTGGGTGACCGGAACATCTGGACCATTCCTTTCCCAAAATGTTCCTGTTTAAAAAGTCATATATTAACCAAGGTTAATGATGTTAGCCACACGCCCTTGCTATGTGCCTCACTTCCTTATTGGATCAATATTAGCTAAGTGGTAATACTTGTAATATTATAGGTTGATGGTAGTTTGAACCATGTTGTACCCATATTGTGACTTTGCTGTATCAATTTTCCCTGACATAGGGCCATGGCAAAACCCACTCAGAATTCCTCCTGTCTCTCAGGAGCTATCTCTCAATAAACCCTTCTTACTCTAAAAAAAAGTACACTTCCAAAGAGACCCAAAGGAAACAATCAAAGAGCTAGTGGGATAAATTACTATGCATTGTACTTATGATCTATTAAAATAGAAATCCCTTACTCCCTTGTCATATTTATGGCTAATCTTACAGAAAATATTTAATAATTGATGAATTTTAAGACAAGGGTGCTTGGTCCAGGCCTTAAGATGTTTTATCTTGTACTCAATAATGAACTCTCCTGTTTCCTTCCCAGAAAATATCTCTGTAGTTCACATAACCTAAACTACCTCACCCTGAATCATATTTATCCTCCATGTATTTTGGGGGAGAAATCCAATTAAAAATTAAAAGCAAAAGAAAGTAGGATGGGAATATGCACAGATCCTCTGGCCCCCATTCTTATTCTACACTACAATACATAATCTATATGAGTGAGCCATAAAACTAGTGCATGAAATTCTCAGTCCTAGAAATAACTTTTCCAAGTCGTTATTTATAGACTAAAGAAGAAGCAATTCCACTAACTAGAGTGAGTGTCTTCATAGTCAAAAATTTTGGGAACCACCAAGCTAGATGATAAGCAATTTAAAAAAATAGACTCCCAAGTGCTTACCTATTTCACTATTGGCCAAAATTTCAAATTTGTGCCAAGCTGTAATATTGAAAAGTTGATTTGGGCCCATAGATACTTCCTATTTGTTTGACTACTTTTATTCCACTCATCCACAAACTACATTGTTTCAATGTTTATTTAAATCTGTGAGACTAGATAGTCTTACTAACTTTTTAATAACTTGTCCTGTTCTCATGAGTTACACAATGGGAACAAAAGCAAACGGACTCATTTTTAGGGTCTAGAGTAAGACAATGTACCAAATTAAAATGATCTAGTTTACAGATGCCCTTGGATTACAAATTATTAGTCTTTTAAACCAGAATTATTGCATTAACTATTTTTTGCCCAAATCACTTTTTTGCACTAATTTCCTATATCAAATCCTAAGCATATGGTTCAAGCTGCAGTGTAGTACATACCTTGAGAAGTCAGTAATCTGGAATGCAATTACTAGAATAACACATGGAATTTCTAGATGGAAATGGAGAAAATAAGAGAGATGATGCAAGATAAGACCAAGTAAAATTATCAACACACTAATATTTTTCTATAATATAGTTTTATATATATGCACATATAAATTATAGAAAACCTCATCTTCAATTGGTTGCTCATTTGTCTTAAAGTGGCCAAATATTTACACATTCAATTTTCAATTTAAAAAAAACATTTATAAAATATTAGAAAAATATAGAGAGAAGTGTGTCTAAAAGGTGAGATTTAATTGTGAATTTCAAGGATTATATACTCATGTAGGAGATAGTGTTCTGATTACATGTGTCACCTACTCTGGACTCTGAGCTCCTCAGGAGAGGAGCCCTGTTTAACTGATCTTTATATGACATACTATGCATAGTGCTGCTCCTTCTTACCAGGCACTCAACTCAAGAGTTCTATTTTGAACCAACTCCTTTCACTACTACTTGTGTACCATGTTTAATTGTATTAATGCCAGATATTAAAGGCAAATCTCACTATATAAAAAGTTGAAGTACTTTCGGTGGCTACAGTTTCTCTTTGTGTCTTTTTACCCACAAGAAAGCATTTTTCTCTAAACATCATGTATGATACTAACCAAAATTAAGTAGCCCAGATTATCCACACAGAAAATGAGAGTTTGCCTAAGTATCAAAATTCAGCTACACAGTATTCTACTTTTGATCTCTACTATTTCACTAGCCAGTCATGGAAGTGACTGAGTAAATGGACGCAAATTTTACACATGTACAAAACAACTCCATTTCAATGAATTCCAGTATGTTTGCCTCTTCTGTGTGAGAGCTTGGCCAGAGAGAGCCTGAAGGAATTGGCCCATAATTTGAGAATGGAGAGGAAGCAGAGAATTAGGAAAGTTGAATCATTACACTTCCCAATAAAGCAGTTCTAGTGCTCCCATTTCAGGCTTTACACAGTCTACCCACTAAGTTGGCAACATCCCAGCCCAGAGAACCAACAAGCCACTCAGTACAACCAGAGGCTTCTCAAGCAAGGAGGGTGGCAGCTCTTTCTCTTTTCTGATCACTATCAAAAGAATAAATTACTAAACAATAAACAATCCTCTTTCATTTGGAACATATGAAGCACTTCACAGCGGTATTCCTAAATGGAACAGCTATTTTAATGGCATAGACCTCAAAAGTGTCAATACAATTCGTAATGATTTAATCCATGAAAAATTAACACATCATACTATGCATACATTGTCAATTTCGAGAAAATTGCAAAATTGCCTACAAAAGTGGTCTTAGAAAACTATTTCTTTGTGGTGTTGTGATGAAGTCTTTCTTTAGAATATCAAAACCTTGCCGAATGATTAAACATATATTGTTTAAAGCCAGCAGATCTTCATACAAAGGACAGAAACTCCCTAGAAACAACTCTTTTGAATGCCATGGGGCTATGGTCTGACCCTGTGATGTTTTTTTCCTCTGTCGTGAAATTATGCATTTAATCACATCCCTGATGTATAATCTTTACTACTGGATATTCTTCCTGATATTGCTGAGTTGAGCAATTTCTGTCAGTCAGTGCAACATGAGTAAAATTCATCTTTGTTTCTGAAGTTTCATCTGTATTCTGCAACCTACAAAAACAAATGACGAATGTAACTTGTTACTAAGCTAGCGGTTAGCAGTTTCTAACAACTTAAAACCATTGGTTGGAACTAGTGGTTTCAAATTCAGATTAATATATGGCTGTTAAAGCCACAGAGGAAATAAAGACATCTAATCAGGGTATTCTTGAAGTCAGTAGAGCCGCATACTTCCAATCAGTAATCCTGTACAGGAAAACATTTTCTGAGAGTTACATTTATAGATTTATTTTTAAACTTCCTCTGTGTCTTGCTATGAGAAGAAAAATATCCATGAAAAGTAAAATCCTACAAAATAGAAAATAGCAAGAAAGCTGTGAAGCAGACACATACTGTTCATGACCTTCTGAGGCTTCCTTTTAGGTAGTAATTAGAAATATTGCATTACATATATTCTGGCAAAACAGGAAGTTAAAAAAAAAGTGTCCTGCAAAGATACCTCACAAGAAAGCAAAAAAAGCTATATGTGTGTTTCTGTGTATATACATAACAAAAGAAATTGCAACTTATTGGTAAAATTTTATACTAGGGAACTCCTGGGATTGAAAGTTATTAACAAAGTTTCAATCACTATTATCTGAATGCTTATTCTAAGTGATGAATTAGACTAGATACCACAAGCAGAGGAGAGAAGGAACTAGGGACCACCTTTATCTCTTGGGCCAAAAAGACCAACTTGTAGAAAGATGACAGCCCTACAAGGCAGAATATAAATGATTAAGAAGAGCCAGACACAATCAAATCTGTGCATCAGAGGTTAATTTTGGGTCAGGTAGATCATAAATGGTAAATGTGCCAGGAAGAGGTAGATATAAGTAACCCTGATCTTTGACATTCATAAGAAAATGCTTTGTATTCTAGAATTTCTTCTGGGCAAATTCCTTAACTATGTATGATCACTTAAAATCAATTAATAAGCTACTCAATTCATATGATTTCATTTCCTGCTTCTTTGGCAAGCACCAACTAAAATTTTACTTGTATAAAGTGTAATATTATCCATCTCGATAGAAATAGAAATAATAACCAACATTTGGAGCTTAATCCAACAATAAATATAACAATTAAATGTGAATATGCTCTACATTCATGAGTATTTTTTTAAACCCTCCATTCAAAATTCCATGAAAAAGTTTGCTCCTCAAAGTGAAGGATATATGTGAAAATATTCTCATTAGTAGAACTGTGCCTAAGACAAACTGGAACAACAAAGTCAACTTTTAGCTGTAAATGATGAGAGATATGATGTCACTGGAAGAGAGAACAGAGTAATCCAACCACCAAACAGCACAGATACCTGAGGAAATGAAAGAGCCAGAAAATAGCTAAATGGTATTTGTTATGGCTTGTATCTATGTGTCCCTCCAAAGCCTCAACAGCTCATAGATGAGGCTTTCTGAAGGTGGCTGGATCTAGGGTGCGTGATACTGGGATTAAGGATATGTGGTAAATAAATGGGTTTATCGTAGTTCTGGGTGTGAATAATGGAAGCCCACCCTAGGTGTGGGTGGCACCAATCAACAGGCTTACAACTTGGATGGACTCTAAATGGAGAGAGGGGAGGCAGACTTGCTGCTGTTGCTTGCTGCTTTGATGTTTTTTGCCTGCCACACACGAGCTGTTCCTCCTCTGTGATGCTCCTCTGCCATGCTGCCCTGCTCTAGAGTCAGCTGACTATGGATTGAAACCTCCACAAACCATGAGCTGAAATACACCTTTCCTCCTTTAACTTGTAGGTGTTGGATATTTTGTCTCAGCAAGGACAAAAGTAGCTAAGACAATATTCAAGGAAATTCAAGTTCAACTGGACAAAGAAAAATCCCAGTATACACATTATAAAGTCAACAATTTGTACAAGAATGAAGTACTTGAGAGAATAGATGATAAGCTAACTCACTACACATAATTTTAAAGAAGAACAAATAAAGCAAGGCCAATATGCAAAAAATTATGGACAATGAAGTACATAAAGATATTAGAGAGATACGATATGACAGATTAATTTGTCATATCAGAAAACATCATGAATTCTAAATGAGTTAGTGTAAAAAACACAGTAAAAATCACACATCATCAAAATACATTTGTAAAATCACAAAAAGAGATGTTTTAAAAAGAATATAATAAAATTCCACAATTGACAACATGGCTAATGAAAGTTTTCTATTCTGAACATATAAAAATTCATACGTGATACCAATGCCCATATTTCACTGGATATAGGAAAGATTCATATATCAGTTATCCTAAATGTCTATATTACAATTCCAGTCATAAAAAATACAGATAATAAGATCCAAAGTTCAAGATAAAAATTGTGCAGGGAAGGATATGACTTGGCAATAAACATATTTAGAAAGCCATGTAATAAAGAATGTCTACTAATCTGATGAGGGGAGAACGTGGACATGGGTGTGAGAAAGGCACAAAAGCCAAGAGATGCCAGTGGTTAAATCTTCAAATTTATATTTAAAGAAACACCAAGCAGAGCATTTTTAAAAATAATATGGACCCAATTACTTGAGGAAATAGACAAAAAGAGAGAAAATTGCTGTTCCAGAGGAAGGGTTGTGGAGTAGAATTGGCAAAGCAGGACAAAGTTGTTTTTCATAAGCCTTTTAATACTATACTAGTTTTGTGATCATGTTTGTTCTGAAAATTGAATTTGTTCTAGCACAATTAATTAACATATTTATTTCAGAAAAATCTAAGCATGACTTGGATTTCCCTTCTTTTTTTCTGTCTACAAGAAACACTAAAAACATTTCCCCCTGCTGAATCAACTGGAAGGAATATACTAAGGGTACACAGTCCCCTCAAATGCCTACCAGCCTCATATTGTCACATGAATGGATACATCCATACTCATCCCACATGGACAGCATATGTCTCATCAAGAATAGCAACGGAAAGAAGTATACTTGTTTCTTCTGTGTCACATCCACACTGGTACTTCTGATTTTTTAAAAAAATTTTGCTTGTGGGCTGGGGATTTAGCTCAGTGGCTCCACCACCTGCCTCACAAGCTCAAGGACCAGAGTTCAATCCCCAGTACCAGCAAAAAAAAAAAAAAAAAAAAAAATTGCTTGTAACTATTTTTTAAAATATTATTGCCTTTCTAATCATTGTGAGCGAAATCAGTGCTTTACTGATGAATGTCAGTGAATGTCATATCCCTAATCTCATTTTTTACCCTGTAGTGTACATTTGTTTCTTATTGGTTTGTTGTTTCTTTTTTAATTAATTGATTTTATTTTTAGAGTATTTTCAGGTCTGTAAAAACTGAACAGAAAGCACAGAGTTCCCATATAGTTTCCTCTATTACTAATTAACATCCTGTGTTTGTGTGGTATATCT